GCTTGATTGCACCTAAGACAAGAAAAATGATTTATGACATTTGATTTCTCAATGTCAACCAAAAAGTGTTATGATGCTTGGTCGCACCAAAGAAGACCAAGAGGCATTACAATGCATGGTCGGACATAAACTACAAAAAAATGAATCTGACATTTGGTCACATGAAGAGCTGACTAAAAATTATTATCACGCTTCATTGACATGAACTTGCAAGCTACATATTACATGCCAAAAAAACTTATTTTTTCAATGAGAAATGGTCAACCAAAAATCATACTTCATATGTAAGAATATCTTTTACAAAATTCAAGTCTATCCACTTCAATAAAAATCTCTACGAATTTTTCGAATGCATGTTAGATTATTCATCATCTTCAACATTATTGTCATCAGATTCTCCGTGATATTTAGAAGCCTAAGGAATGTCATAAAGCTTCTTGAATTCTTCAAGATTAGAATACTTTGGGCCAATCATCCCAACTCGGGCAATTTTGTCAGTTGCAATTTTATGACAGATCTCCAAATATCCTGCTTGAGTGGCAAGCAGATCCTCGCGGTCATAATACTAAACATTGGCTCTGTCAGGAAAGCGTTCTTTGCTTGGACCGTCGAATCCATTCAGATAAAATATCCATCTCCATTTTTTGAATTTTCTATTTCATACTCCGCCTCAACTACCCTCATTGTTGCAAGCTCCACTCGTTCTTGAAATTTTCTAGACATCTCATTAGAGTTGGCAAGTCCTTATCTTATTCACAAGTAAATTGATGTCAGATGTTGAGTGGAAGCATAGCCCATTGGATGGTAACAATTAAGCATTTGGCATAATTCAATGGGGCGACGTCCATTAAACTACTTATCTAAACTTACAAACTAGAGTTGGTCTGCAAACATGGGAGCTTAACTTGCAGATACTGAGTTATATCATTATCGACTAGACAAAGACTTAAAATAAAATTCAAGTAGACTTTTGGCAGAACCTTTTGTAATCAGATCCAACAACATTCCCACTTTTCTTACTTCTAGGAGGACCGGGGAAAGGAGTATCAAAAGAGATGCCCTTACCTTTTTGGGTAAGCCTAACAGACTTAACATAAATGGGATTTCTCTCTTGCTTTTAGTCGAAGCTCCACCACCATCTTCATCTATAGCCTCACCTGAGGAGATCAACGACTAAACTCGACCCTTTATGATGGAGGAATAAACTTAATTCAAGATGCCCAAAAGATCTCCTGAGTCGAAAGATGCCTTGCTGAGCTATCAATATCTATTGGAAGGAGAGAGGAGTCATATTCTTCCCCAAATCACCTACGATCATCTAAAGATGTTTTCACTCAATCAACATTACTTAACCCGTGAATTTATCATGAATAACTACAAAAGTTTTTGAAACTGGGTGAATAAAATCCAAACCTGGTATGCAGCCTCCAGACAGGCTAGCCTCTTTGGTTCCTCATTCGTCTTCTTCTCTGATGGATGAATCATTTGCCATCTTCAATTTTCTTGATGCATTCATAGAAATTCTTCCAAGCTTCTCTAGTTGTCTCTTTTGGTCAACCTCATCAGAGGCGGCCCACATCTATTATGTTATTCAGCACCTGATTTATAGTCAAGGGGTTATATTTAACTACTTATAGCTGTCGACCGAGTATGACCTACTCCATTTCTTTCACCTGGGATGAGATTAATTTGCTCTTCTTAAATGGGCCATCAATGGCCCTAGTTAAGATGCCCCAATCATCTCCGACGCCTCTCAAAAGACATAGTTTCTTGTCCTTAACTTTAATTTCCAGATCTATTAAGTGGAACTTCCTAGTAGTGTCGAAAATAAGATACCAATCTGGTTTGACCTGAAAGGAGAACATATGCAAAAATAATTCGCGAGCCTAAGGGACACCTTGTTTGCGCATATAAATAACATATGTTGTCACTACAACTATTGAGTTTGCTTCAACTGAGTCGGGATGATGCCATAAAATCGAAAGCTCTAGCGATGTTCCGCGTAAAGTGGCAGTCAAAGTCCAAAATAAAACTAGTCTCAGTAGAAAATTATCTCATCACCTAACTAGTCACTAGCACGAACCTTTGTCTCCACTCGATCTAAGACAACATGTGTCATAAACATAAGTTTTATCTAATAACTTAACCTAAAAACCAGTGAGAATTGATCATTTGAAAAACCTAAATGAACAAAAAATTTGAGGAGAATATTTGGGAAATAAATGACTGAAGGATAGGCAAAACAAAAAAATGTAAAAAAACTTTCAAATAATATTTGGAAGCCAAAGCGCCGTATTGGTTTCCGTAAAAAATATCATATCGGAACAAAATTCATAAAAAAAAATCTTAATTCCCAAATTATAGATGACTTTTATTCATAAAAAGAAATATTTACAGTCGGGTCGTCCGTTGCCTCACTCAAGGCCAACACCAGTTCATTAAACGTGAATACTATGCAACCCCCAAGATTTATATTTTTGTATCTTTTCTTCCTCAACACGTACATTTCAATATGAACTAGTTGGCCTAAAGCGGGCAGTTTATCCCTCAAGGTCACTGCTTCAGAGAGCTCCCAAATCTGCCACCTGGTCGGAAGTTCTTCTAATCCTGCTACCTTGGCCTAAAGAATTTCCAACACTACAACTTGGGCCTGAAGAATCTCCATATATGTGTTAAAAACTACAAATTCTTCCGAAAGAACTGTAACAATAGCCTCTCATTGGAGATCAGCAATCCGAGCAAAGGAGTCCACAATCTCGTCCAAGCAGTAAGCTAATGACCCACGAGAGTCCTCCTAACAGTAAGCGGTGTCAGGGCCGGAAGAGGAATTGGAGTGGAAACTCCTTCAGCCGCAACTTGAACAAAAGGATCAGCTTGATCTGCTGGGCATATTACCTTCCAGATTCAAAATTCAATAATATTCATGATTTCTTCTGCAACAATTAAGCCGATGTTATAAAAATAAGTGACAAAACTAAATAAAAAGAGACAACAAGGTTACCAATTATTCGATCTATATCTGATGAATAGAAGCTCTTTGCAACAAGAGATGGCATCCCGCCAAGAGGAGGTTTATCAGTTAGAAGCGGATGATGAACATTCTCCGTTGGTGGAGCCTCAATGGCAAAACTACATATTGAGTCGTCTTATCTCAGTGTAGCACCACCTTGAGCTGGAGACTGAAGCAGGAAGAAATTTAATGGTTGAATTTACACAACCACCTTCGAAGGTTCTCCAGCTTATAACAGTGGGAGGAATGGACGCTGACGAAGCGATGCAGGATCAAATGCTTTCCCTATTTTCCGACATCTCACTTGGAGTAGTGGTGACTCGGATGATTCACAAATTTATTTTAGACAAAGCAACTTATCAGTCGGTTGTCAATTTATTTGCATAGATTCAGCTGGCCTCTTTTCATCGATCGTTTCTTTTCCTTCTCCTTTCCTTTTCTCTGACGAATGTGGTTCTTTGCCCACATTTTTTTAAGGAAGTGGGCAGGATATCTCCAATATCTATTTTCTTTCATCCCATGCAGGATGGGTTCTAGAAATGAGAAGTTCAAAAGCCTTCATTAAGGCTTACTCATTTACTAGTTTTCCAGCACCCGAAATGTTTGTTCGTCTGGACAATCGACTCACAAGAAAATGATTCAGAAGATGGTAAAAAGATAAAATACACTCAGAACCCTATTTATAGAAAAAAGGGGAGGGGCACAAAAATGATGGGAGTATAATTATTATGATATTTATTACTCATTATATGATTGGTCGTTGAATTTAATTACCTTATTCTTTTGACAGTTGTTACTTTCAAAAAAAGTAAGAGAATCATGAAACTAACTATGTACATTAGAAATAAGCCAACACAAATCTCGAGGAGAAATAATTAAAGATATATAAAAACATAGATTGATCATGTGAAAAGTCGAGCAATCTCAAAGAATGACTGAATGAAAGGAACGAACGTACGAGTATCACGAAACTATATCAACACCAACTATTTGATAACTGCTATCGTGAAAACCAATGTTTGCATGAGATAAGACATTTTAACAAACATACAAAAACTGAAGGTAGACTGCTTATCTAATTAGGGTGATTTACCTTCTGCTCGATTAAATAACCCTATCCTAAGACAATGTGTCTTCATATTCAGACTCCACGATTTAGGTGACCGAAGAGCAATAAATCAATCAAATGATGACAGTTAGTCGAACGAATGACAGCTGACCGAATGTCATTCAAACACCCAAACTAAATGACTACGAATGTGAAGCAGAATTCAAGGGAGTTACAGAAGTATAATGGTGTTGGCATCAGTTATGATGTCAAAATATATAATATTCAGTTAAAAATGTGTAAATATAATAGCTCATTAGCTATAATAACGTTCCTCCCGTTAATAAGGACCTACCATGTAACTTAGAAATCCTACCTATGATTTATAAATATGAGCATAATTTTCAAGAGAGACTAAACAAAATTCTCACTAAAAGACAAGTATCGAGTATTCAAATTTTTCTTTTTCCTCATTTTCATCCTCTATACCTTAGGTGTGATCCATCAAACAATTTTGGATCCATCAATACTAAATTATTTATTGAAAAAATTGTTTCATTAACTTATTTTTTGAAACCTTTTGAATTAAAAATTAAAATATTTATAGGATGAGTTTTCTAATATTTCCACCAAATATTTAGGATTTAACCATCAGTATCGATATTTTGTTAATTTCTTCCTAATTTCATCAACTTCAGATCGAAATAACTGAAACTAATCAAAACGTAGCAACTTCCCAGCCTACAATCAATTTTCAGATTCCTAACCAATCTGAATCGAATCTTAAAATCAAGATAAAAGAAAGTGTAAGTTTCCATGAATGGGCCCATAGTCATGCTTATAGTTGCTCCTATTAGCCTTCTTATAAAATGGGCACCTGAATTAATCGATTCAAAGATGACACAGTTCCAAGAGAAAGAAAAGAAGGCAGCATATAGAAACCTGGCATAAGAGTAGTAGTTTCCCTTAAGTCGAAGCAATCAGCAGCCCTGGGACTTCCCATTCCAGGCGCCTCTGCACCAACTTCATTACAAAAGTTCCAGCCCTCAAAAGCCACACGAAGACCATTTCTCTTCATCCCCGGATCCCCCACCGCCGATCTATACCCCGCTAATCCTCCCGACGACGTAGTAAACCACCCCGCCACGGCTGTCACAAGAAGGGGCATGAGTGCCACTTGGCTTGATCGATCCCACATCATTACTGAAGAGAGAGAAAGATAGGGAGCAGAAAGGATAGAAGTGAAAGATTTAAGCTTACACAGTGCTCTATTAGTTTAATTGGATGCGTTTGATTCGCCTCTAAAAGACGCTATATGTTTGCGGATATTGTTTATCAACTCAGGACAAAGTTGTCATAAATCTCCGCACGCGGTTTTAGAAAATGATTAATAATATTTAGTGAATTCGTTAGGATGTCGCTACAAGCCTACAATCATACACAAGGCACAACTCTGGACCACAAACAACAACATACCAAATCCTAACCACCTAAATTGTATTCTATCAGTTATGATCTTGTAAACACCCTTTTCCAAAACATTCTCTCCGTATCATATGTAATTCATCGTTTATTAAGAAGTGTGGATACCAATACATTTCAGCATAATTATTTTCTACGCTTTACAACGACAACAATGTGCCTTTTGTATTTCTCAGCTTTGCAGGTTCTGTTTCATGGTGTCAGAGCATTTGGGTAGTGGATCAAATAGATGATTCAGTCCTTCAGCATTAATTGAGGGACGAGATTCACTCATAATTGAAGAATAGTGGACTCGTTCTTGGAAATTCCTTATTTCTAATACATGAATTGTGGTTAATATTTTTCTATTCACAAACAATTACACTATAAAAATCTCGATACTGAAAGTAGTTAAGCCGAATGGTTTCGCTGGTGTTATAGATGGATCCATTACAAGGCCAGACAATAATAAAACAAATGATACAGGAACTGTAATTCATAACCCTGCTTCCTATACATGGATGCTGATAGACAAGAATTTAACAGCTTCTATACTTTCAACCATATCTCCCACAATATTTACATATGTGACTAATCTTGACAACTACCATGAAATTTATAAATCCTTGTTGTAAAAATGCCTGCAAGCAACAAATAGATCACACGTAATCCAACTCCAAACTGTGTTGCATAATATGCTTATGAAGAAAAATATATTGGCATAACATCTCACTCAAATTTAAACACTTATAAACAACATATTAGATGATGGATCATCCAATGACACATAAGATATCATACTTCACACACTCAAAGGCTTTTTCACCAACATATCAAGCATTTAAAACAACAATACGGACCTCTCTCTACCCAATAAGTTTTGAATATCATCATTTGCTTCTCTATAGTGAAGAAGCTAATATTCCCATTAAGAACACTCTAGAAATTTAGCAAACCAGATCTTGACATAGCTCGATATACTCAGCCTGGATAAGGATAAAACAACTATTAAGTGGTCACACCAATAATTTATCCTTTCACGGAGCTAATATCACAAAAAACAATCAATCTAAAACTATCAATCATGACATCTATCAAATATGTAACAAAGAAGGGCGCACTTCTTCCCAATGTTGGCACCATCTAAATCTAAACTATCAGCCAATTACAGCTTCGTTCAACACAACTTTCATGACAACTTCCCCTTCCAATCATGACTGTTTCTTGGATTCTGGTGCTTCAACGCATCTTACAACAAATTTCAATAAATTATAGAAACCAAACCTTATCAGAGCACCGATCAAGTATCAGTTGGCAATGGTACACCCCTTCCCATAAAAATTTCAATTCAAGACTTACTTTGTACTCCCACTCGCAAGTTATTTCTTTCCAGACTCTTTTCATATCCTCATATTTCAAAAGATCTCAATTTAATTTCAATATTTGCACATAATAACAATTATTCTATCCTGTTTGAAGCTTCTAGATATCTCATTAAGGACAAGAAAAAAATGCAAATCCTTATGAAAGGTCATTGCCATGATGGCCACTACCCAATTCCTTGGCCCGCTCAAACACTAGTGACTACCACCACCACGTCAGAAGTTTTGTACCGATGTTTGGATCATGACAATAATGACACCATTTCACTCATATCGAAACAACAATAAACAATTTGTATTCTAAAATTAATTTTCTTTTGCAAATATTGTACTACAGTTAAACACCATTTATTATCTCTCTTTTAGTAGTAGTCACTATTATAAATCACTTAAACTTATTCAATCAAAAGTTTGGGGCCCTCCAATCCCATCTACATAAGGGGCAAATACTAAGTAAGCAATTTAATGATTTAACTGTATTTACTTGGATATTTGCAATGATTAAGAAATCTTCAGCATTAGTATGTTTCATAAACATCAACTAGTAGGTTCATGTCAGCACAATTTTAGTTTGGGGGGGGGGAGTCCCGTGGAAGCTGTCGGTCACCGAAATCAGAATCCCTCAGAGGGACATTGTTGACCTTACTTTTGGTTGAGGTCTAGTTTCCTCTTTGGTATTCTAGGATCTAACAATAGGACTTTTCTGCTGACTATTCCTAGAGGACTAGATAAGTAATCCTCACCATTAGAAATTCTAAACCTTCCATTGCTCAACTTGAAGTTCCACATGTTGGTCCTAACCTCTAGCACTTAGTAGGTGGGGAGACTCATGTAGTTAGTCCCCTAAAACCACTAGCCTTGGGCTAAGTTCTAACTTATACCAGTACATAAAGGACCTAAAGTAGAGGATTCCATTGTTCCATGGCTCAAATAGGGTGGTTGGCACCTCACCTTTATCAAAACACTCCCAAATCCCAAATTTGACTAAAATTCCCAAAATTACCCAAATCACTCAAATTTATTAAAAAATCATCTCAAATCATTTGAAACTGCCCAAATTTCCCAATACTCCCCAAATCTACCCAATCTATCAAAATACCCCCAAATTGGCCAAAATTACAAAATTAGCCTTGATGGCCCAAACTTTCTCAAAATACTCAACATCATTTCGAATGTCTCCAAAACCAATTTGAACCCTTCAATTAAACCCAATTTAATCAATTCGACCAACTTTGACCAAAAGCCCCAAGTTGCCCTTAAAGGCCTAATTTCTCCAAATTCACCCCAAATATCCATCAATTTCATCCCAATTTTCCCAAATTTCAATTCTAACTCAAATTAATCATGCATATGATCATTTCAGACCAAATTCCAGTGTAATTGACCCATGCTCTGAGCTTTATTTTGATCTAGACCAAAACCCCCAATTTTAACCATATGATCCAATCTCACCCAATCTCATCCCATAGCCCACTCAATTGCCTCAACTTGGATCCCAAAATCTTCCTAAAATTCATACTAATCAAATTGAACCATCAATTGGCCTTGCTCAAGCTTCAATTTAACTCGATTTCAACCTAAATCTAAAATCCCAAAATTTTCCCCAATTTAGCCATGTGCCCAAATCCCACCAAATAGAATGTCCTAACCCCAAAATTGACACTCAATTAATGTTGAAAACTCTTCATGACATTCCCCATGACTATTTTGAACTCTCAATTTGGACTTAGCCCAACTTTAGCCCAACCTAACACCAAGTCTAACTTAACTTCCCCAAATTGACTGAATGCCCAATTTCTTTCTAATTGACCCACCAAACCAATTCAAAACCACTCCAATTCTTCTCTAAACCTCTCATGACAATCACCCATAAAAAATGATTAATTAATTTGGCTAAATGTCATGGCTAGCCTAACCCAAACCCAACTTTAAGACAATTTAAACCAAATTGAACCCCTTAAACAAAATTGACTTAGCCATACCAAACTGATCAAATTAATGTCACCACAACCACCATTTGGACTCTATTGACCAGATAAACCCACCTAAACCACCTAGGTGAGCTATGGACTATTGGTCCCTTGATTTAGGGCTTCTTAGCCATATTTAGCCTTATTTTGAAAATACTTTGCCATCATCACTTGCCATTGAAAATAAATCATAATTAACCCTTCCCTGACCTCCCTGAGCTAAGAGGTGACTGAGCCCTGGCCAGCCACCACCTCAATCGCCGGAAACAGTCACCCCAAAGGAGCCCAAATGGCTAAAACTCAAAATTTGAACTCTCTGACTTAGATCACTCCAATTGGATGCTTGTGCTTTTCTTCACTCCACCTCAACAAGCCTTAGAACCCACTGCTAAGCTCTGAGCTCCACCAGGCAGCCATGGCTTTAAATTGACCCCTCCATGACCAAAGGAGAGGTTAGCAAAATCCTTGGGGAAATTTTGCCCATTTGCTTCCAGTGACTCTCCAAGAACTCCTCAACTCAATCCCACCACTTTGTCCCTCAGGTTCCCCCTGTAAGAGCTCAATTTTGAGTTTAAAAATTCAACTCGAATCAAGACATATTTCCAAACACCTCCAGAGTTCACCAAATTCCAACTAACTGTGCCAACACAATCACCAGAACAAGAGGAGTTGATCCCCCACAAAAGCCCCCTCTTGAAGAACCTTTAACATAGCTCTAGCCCAACACCTGAAATCGAGCTTGGTCGAAATCATATCTAGACAACTAACCGGGACCTAGGTCTTCATCTCAAAGTTTGTTGGACCCAATCAAAGCTACCACAACAATCAGATTGAGGCCTCCCATCTTAGACAAAGGTATTGAACCTCAACCCTAATATGAGCCTATTTTGATTCTCCATAAATATTTACTGTATTTCATACCGTATAATCCATATAGATATAATCATCTTGAGCAGATGAAGGTATAAAAATAAACATCATGTGATTTGATTGAGTCTAAATGAAAATCTTAAGTTTTTAGTGTAAACGGCTCTCAGGTTAGGTCATTTGGGGACGTTGACTAGGAGCCGTCTGATCCCACATGTTTTGGATGGACGGAGGAGATCAAGCCGGATGAACCCTTAAAGCGAAAGGCGGGCCACGTGGGAGCTGAGGTGGATGACATCGTCAAATGGCGGAGCACCACGTGAGTTCGGAGCCACCGTAAGATGATTTGGCGCCGCGCTTTTAAATAGAAAATTATGGATTTTTTGGAATTAATTAAATTCTTGTTTTGGAATTAATTAAATTCTGATTTTTTGGAATTAATTAAATTCTTGAACTTCAAAAATTCATATCTTTCTCTAAGAAAATCATAAAAATAAAAGAAAAAATCTTCTTGCTTAGTGAACAGAGGAGATAAATGTGGACTAAAAATATAAATTATTTTCTTACTCCCTGATTTTTAATGAATTAAATACTCTCTCGAGTATTTTAATTCATT